TTTATTGATTGCAAATCCTAGTGTTGGGAGCCTGTTGTTTCCCTACCAGTTGTTAGTCTCTGGTGTCCTAGAGGCCCCTAAAATAACAAAGGGCATTGCCACTGTTGGCTACATGTAAGAACTAGGTGATAAGGCTCTATTGCTGAAGACACTGTGTTGTTGCAGGACTTGGAGAATTTGAGCTGGGACTGAGATGAACGTGTCCCCTCCCTGGTCACTACATTAGTGACAAGAGATGCTGGGAAGGCTGCTGAGAATTATGCCAAGAGTTCTAAGTATCTATGGACCCTGCATGCTAAACTGTAGAAGTGATGGGCAAGATGTGCCCACTAGTGCAGCAGTGATGTAAACGATTATGGATACAACCAATTTTCTGATTGAACATTGGGCCCTTTCTGCAGGGAGAAAATGATACCTGGCATCTGGAGCTGTGAGCTCACACACAAAGCTGTGGTTGGGAAACTCACAGGGCACTGTGATTATTTTGCTAAATGGATGTGATATGCAGCTAATGTGTTTTCTGAGCATTTGTGTTCACTTCTGTGGATTATTACAGTTGTCGGGGTCCATTCAGGTAGTTTCCTGCTTAGCATCTCTACTTACCTTCCTTTTTCTCACTTGAGTTCTGCGGAAGAAGGAATACCAATGAGATTCATCACCAGCCATCCTCTACAGATAGATCAACAAGAAGACATTAGGGTTCCCTGTACCCTCCTGGAGCTGGAGGAAAATAGACATTTACACCATGCCCTCCAAGACTTAGAGAGCATTGTAGTTGAGGTAGGCAGAAAGAACACAGGAGTTGGAGGGGAGTACAGAGTGGGGTTGTGTCCCACGCTACCGTCTCGCCCGCAAGAACGACGCGGGACACTTAGGATCCTTCTGCAGAAAAGCTTTAATGCGTCTTGAAAGAGAGAGCATAAGCTTCCAAAGCGGAGACCCAGAATGAGGGAACCCATCCCTTATATAGGAAACAGTCCTCACTTCGGACGTGTCACTCTTGGATTGGTCCGCTGCCCATTATCCCAGATGATGCCTCGGGAGTAGGCAGGGACAGCAGTGGGAAGTTACCAAGCACATGTGCGTTATCTTGTTCACCTGGTGGTGAAACCAGATGCCAGCGCCATCTTGTAATGGAGTATGTGGTTGCGGTCCTCCACAGGGTTGAATGTGATCCTCCCAACATAACAGCCCAAAACCTTTATCAGGGCTTCTGTGCTTGCTTGCAGGAGTTCCTCAAGATGAAGCCTGTGGACTGTTGACATTCCCTCATAAAAGGAGGGAGTGGGAGAGGTCATTGGATCTTCACCTGAGATTCCTGCCAGTCCTAATTTGTATGAAATTCTGTCCGAATTACATATGACCTTGGCATCTCCTAGAAATTGCTAGAGTATAAGGGCTGGGGGAAGTTTACTGAAGAAAGGCTTTGTCTAGACTGCTATGGGAAAGTCATCATCAATGCTATGTAAACACTATTTAATGTGACTTCTTTGGGGCCACCATGCTGTGTAAGCCCAATAAAGTCATTTTGTTCTCCAGGACAGAATCATATTTTGATTTATTGTTGAAATATTATGAGGCAGGAGTAAATACTGTTTATGCTCCCCATCCTATGCAGGGGAAGATTCTTACAGCCTGAGCACTTGTCGAGCCACTGGGTGGTATCATGAGGCCATGCCATGAGTTGGCATAGCCTACCCAGTCTGTGAGATACATGGTGTGATTTAATCACCTAAGCCTGCCTTTCTCAGAATGTGTCTCTATCATTAAATTAAGCATGATGGTATCCTAAAGGACTTATGGAAATTTTTTTAACTTAAAAATATTTACTAACAAGTCCTAATTGCACATGTTAACCAGGCTTACTGTAGTATTTCCAGGTTTGCATGCAGTATACCAGATCAAATCTAAACAACCTTTGAAAATTAAAAGTTATTAATAGATGTCAATGTCTACAGTACAATTTTCCCACTTAAAAGTGCTTTCAAGTATACATTCATTATACAAAGATAGGCATTTTATAATGGCATTTTTAAGGTTTATTGTATACTTCGATCATATTTTCTCCTCATGGTCTTCTTTTGTTCTTTCTACACTTCTCCAAGTTTCCTTCCTCTACCCATTTTCATGTGTGTGTGTGTGTGTGTGTGTGTGAATGTGTGTGTGCAAGATGCTAATTGTGAGTGTATGAGTGAAAGCTATGTGTGTGCATATACGAAATGTGGGTGTTAGGAATCAAACTCTGGCCTTCCAGAAAAGCAGCAAGAACTCCCAACCTCACTTGTGGAGAGTCACACCTCAGCATCCTTGTCACACTGTTATAGAGTTCTCTTCTGTGGCATCCTGTGTAGGCCGTTACTTGTGGGTGGAGTGGGGAGCTGGGTACAGGTTGTCACAGAAGCCTGCCATGTTCCTCTTTCTCAACTGTGTGACTGCAGTCATCGATATCATAACAAATATATCTTCTTTGCCCTTTACAGTTACCAGGAGCACAGATGGTGGACTTCCTCATGATTTCTGGCAAGAGCACAGCCCATGAACACGGCCCTCAGCTGCAATGGGGCCACAGACCTAGACAAGGTCATTGAAGGCAGCCTGGACCGTGGACATCAACACAGACCCTGACTGGAATAGGACCTTGAACCCAGACATGGCCCTCAGTGGCAGCAAGGCCCATGACATTAGCATGGCTTCAGTCTGTGGCACAGACTGTGAATATCCACTTGGATGTTGATTTTCTTCACAGCCTGGGGTAGTAGCATAGGCCACAGACACCAACGTGGCCTCCCGTGGCATCACTGACCATGGTGGTCCTTCTAGGAGGTCTGATCCGGAAAGTGGACCGTTCCACATCTCAGGTCTCCACTGTTGTCCAGAGCCAGGACAGTCCTGCTGGCAGCGTATTCAATCTGCCTAAGCGTCAAGCTGCTGCACACAACTGGTTCACTAACCCTGCATGCTCGACTTCAGCCCTCTCTTACACCTGTCACTGACTGCTAGTCTCCTGCCCTGCCTTTCCCCACACACACATCACTTCTTCTCTCTATCTTTCCCACCTCTCATTGCATATTTGTTCAGCATAGTGATACCCACCTAGGGAGGTAGAGCAGTCAGTAGCATTTGTTTTTGCTTGCCTGTTTTCTTTTCTATTTTAACAGTAGCCATTGTGACAGAGGTGTGATGATCTCAGTGTCATTTTGATTTGTATTTTCTTGCTAGCTAAAGATGTGGCCAGTTTTATTTGTTTGTCTGTTTGTTTTCATTTGTTTTGTTGCAAATTTTACTTTCTCTTTGATAAACTGCCTTGTGGTTTCCTTTACACTTTTACTGATTGAATCATTTTAGTGTTTAATTTCTTGAGTTCTTTGTATCCTATAGATGTCCATTCTCTGTCAGATATATAGCTAAAGAAGATTTTCTGCCTTTCTCTGGTCTTTACTCTGTGCTGTGTAAAACAACAGAACATAATTTCATAGAATTCTTTTTGTCAACTTTTGAAATCTCCTGAGTTATTGGAGATTCCTTTTAAAAGAAATTATTGCCTATGACTATATCTTGAAATGTTTTCCCCTATATAGATTCAGAGAGGTTTTGGGGGGAAGTGAGGTCTAGGAATCACTTTGAATAGATTATTGAATCATGTGAAAAGTAAAGATTTCTCAGAAAGATGAGCCACAGGAAGCAAATTAAAGGGAAATAATAAAAGAAGTCTGACTGTTTCTGTTGGTTTTAGGCAGCACCATTGGAACAGAATAAGGTTTTCTCACTATGTATCAGAATTATAAGATCAGTGTTTGCCACCTAACGCTTGAATTCTCAGTGACCTTTGAAAAGTTTACTCTTTCTTTTTTGCTGTTTTCTAATTATACTCAGTAAGTTTGTATTGCTATGATTCTTTTCTGTATTTTTAAAACTAAGTACATAGATTTTTATATATCAATAAACAACTTAACCTTGCATATATCCACTAAAGGGGGAAATTATTTTAGGAATCAGCATATTAGGAGTAAGGGAGACTAGAAGGAAAGATGTTAAAGTACAAAAGTGGCTGGTGTTGTTTAAAAGGTTAACCTATATTTTACTTTTGCCTGTCTGTATTTTCCAAAGTCTCTATTGGTAGCATGCATGGTGTCCATTATTAGGGAAAAGGATCCTGCATTAGTTGCTCTTACAGTCTGTTATAAAACCCATGATGAAGGCAGGTTATGGGAGACAGAGGTTAGTTGGGCTTCAGGTTCCAGAAAGATGAATCCACCATGATGGGGAAGACTGCTGCCAGGAAAGATGTAGCTTAGGACAAGAAGCTCAGTGTTCACATGCAGAACTCCAGCCACAGAGCAGAGACAGCAACCTGGAAGTGAGGGAGCATCTTAGCTCTGAAAATATACTCCTCCAGTGACAAACACACTGCCTCCAGCAAGACTACACACTGCCTAACCCTCCCCAAACAGCACCAGGAACCAGGAACCAGCCAAATACAGAGGTCTGTGGGAGTCATTCTCATTCAAAGAGCTACAGATCCGTAATGGCGTTTTGAAGGGCTATCCACATCTCTAGTTCTCTGGTTCTGCTTTTTAGCAACTCACCGGTTCCTTTTGGCACCAAAGGAACGAGTTAAAAAAATGGGCTGAGGTGCCAGGTCACAGAGTGTTTACTTGGTGTATCTGAGGTTCCCTTTAGATCATCGCATTGAAGAAAGGAGAAGGGAAGAAGCCCTCCAGTTTAGAAACAAGTAAAAAGCCTGAAGCTGTTACTACACCAAATCAAAATACTGAGAAAAATTAGCCTTACACACATTATTTAAGAATGTAGCAAGACTTGTGTAAAGTTCCTCACGCCAGGGAAAAGATCTTGCCAACACGCCAATTCATCCTACTCCTTCTCTGGAAGCAAAATTCTCCCCCAAACCTAGAATTTCACAACATTTCAAATTCGGATGCAAAAATGGAAATACCCGTCCCTTCTTTCCTTGAATGAGGTTAATCATTGTGTTGCTTCTTTTCTAGTACTCAAAGCATTTCAGCTTGTGGGAAGTGTGAGGTGGGGGTATAGCAGTCAATTCAAAGCCTGACATTTGTAAAACTGGGTGAAGCAAGTCTGGGGGGAGTCCTTGTACTCAGGGTGATGGTCAGATGAATGCCCTGGATGCAGAAAAGTGAAGCAAGGTCCAGGAAAAGTCTAGGTAAGGCTACAGAACCAAGAAGGTCCTTCAGCAAAACCTCATTGCCTTAGAACCAGTCTGCCTGCTGATACGGTCTCATGATAGAGCGAGATAGGTAAGCTATATGCGCCGTTACACAGTGATTTCATAAATACAAGGAGGACTTTTTCAGTCCTTTTGGTATCCGTAAATTGTATGACTTATAAAAGTAACCAAAGTGAATTGTTTGAAGTTTTGGAATCTTTGCAGGAATGATACATTCATCTTGAACTTGGACCCAAATGAAGTAATGGACGTGTGTTTCTTATATACGCCTTGTCTATATTGTCTGGAAGTGACTTTATGCCACATGTTTATAATAAATGAATGAAACTGCTACTAAGGCTGCCTTACTTTTTACCCCACTAAAGCTATAAGCAGTCCTAGAAGTCATAAAACAGGTAAGCACATAGTGGAATTTGTGGAGCGAGTAATTTGACGTTGCGGTTGGAAAATACAGTCAGAAATCCTTAGTTGAGAGAAGTCAGAATACTTAGGGGTACAGACTGATACATAACTGACCCTTAAAGCCAAGAAAGATGTGATTCAGACTAGTGTTAGGCAAAGTACCCCACCACTACAGTGCTCCAGCAGGTAATTTAACATTTGGGGAGGCTCTGTGGTTAACACCTCAACTACTTCTACATGCTATGGTTTGAGTACACAATATCCTTCTGTGTTGAAGCCCAAATCCCCACCCACCCCCCTCAACTAATAGTGCTGTTTTGGAAAGTGAAGTAGCACTCAATCTACTCTCTCTGTCTCTCTCTCTCTCAGTGTGTATGTGTCTCTCTGTCTCTGTCTCTCTCTGATTCTAAGTCTCTCTGTCTCCTTCGTTGAGTGTTGAGTGTGTGTGTCTCTCTCTTTCCCTCCTCTCCTCCCTCTCCCTCCCTTCCTCTAACCCCCTACCCCTACTGCCTAGCTACTGTGGGAGAAGCTCCTCCTTCCTACCCCTACATCAGGAGTTCCTGCCTCACAGCTGGCACAGAAGCAACAGAACCAGTCAAACTAGACTTAAACCTCTGAGAGCAGAACCCACAATAAATCCTTTGTTTTTTCAAGTATTTTCTGACATCAGCAAACATCTTGCTACTACAGAGTCTGCCATTGTCCTGACTCCAGGAGCTTGTCCACAGAGGCGTTCCTCTCTTGTTTTCTTGTTTTCCACCCTACCCCACCCTAGTACCAGTGCCATGAATCTCTCCAAACTCCTTCAAGCCTTTCCCTATGAAGTAAAATTTTAAAAATTGACCAAGTGAATTGAAAGTACAGCCGTGACACAAAGCAATCTTGCAATGGAAAGGATTCTCCTGTGATCCTCTTGCAGTCTTCACAGCCACTCCAACATTCTCAAACCTGAACTTCCACTAGTTCTTCCTTTCTGTACCGTTCTCATTAGTAGAAAGCCATGTACACAGAATGATGGAGTATCAAAGTTTGAGGCCTGGGATTTTTACAGATTGTAATTTTACAGATTGTAATTCTGTAGGGAATCCTCGGGACTTCACATTGATGTTTGCTCATTTCCCTGCCAAGAGGATTCTTCCAATGACACAATGGTGATGCCCACAGTTTGCTTCACTTCTACGACATGGAAACATAGCAGGTAGTTTCTCATATCTGCTGTTAGACATAAAATTGACATAAATGATCGTGTACATGCTTTTCTGAGAACATGGGTTTTAACTTCTTTAGGAAAACTGCTCCAACATTCAAGCTCTAGAGTATGTGATATTTACATACTGGGATTAAAGGTGAGCACTACCACTGCCCAGCTCGTTTACAAACTCTTAATGACTTCCAAAATTACTAGGAGACAGTTCCCATCTATAGTACATGATTGAGATAGGTCCTGATGACTGGATTAATTTAAACAAAACCTTAGGTGGTGAGAAGGACTTAAATAGTCCCAGAGAATTATTAGTTGAAGCTAAGAGAGAATTGGCTTTGATTGAAGAGCAATTACAGAAGACATATGTGGATCATGTGTATCTGAATCTTAGCTGCATTCTATTCATATTACCCTCCAAACATTTCTCTACAGAAATTTTAATGCAGAGGGAAGATATTACCTTAGAATATATCTTTTCATCACATAAATCAAGTAAAAAAATTAAAAACCTATACAGTAAAGGTCTCTGAGTTCATTCTAAAAGGAAAAATTAGACTTTGTCAATTAGCATAGACCCAGCAGAAATTATAGCACCTTTTAATAGTGATGAAATTGACAAATTATGGGAAGAAAGTGAAGCCTGGAAAAGAACATGTAGTAGTGGGAGCTATTAGCAATAATTATCCCAAAACCAAGAAAATTCAACTTATACGGAGAAATAATTGGATCCTTCCTCTCATTGTATGGACCAAAACAATATCTGGAGCCAGTACATTTTTATACTGTTGCAACTAAATCAGGAAAGACAGGTTACAAATCAGGAAATTTAAATAAAGTGGATCAAAGCCCTTATGATTCTGTCCCAAAGTCAGAATTATAAGCTATTCTCACAGTACTATTAGATTTTAAAGAACCTCTCAACATAGTTACCAATTTGCAATATGCAGAAAGAGTTGTTTCACATATTGATACTGCTGAATTTATACGAGATGATACAGAATTAACTTTACTGTTTATTCAGTTATGAGATACAATCAGGAATAGGAATCATCCCATATGCATAACACAAATCTCTTCCCATACAGGACTGCCAGGTTCTCTAACACAAGGTAATGCAGAAATTGATCAACTATTGATTTGAAATGTGCTGAAAACCTCAGAATTTCATAACAAGCATCATGTCAGTAACAAAGATTTTTTAAAAAGGCTTTTTCATCACGTGACAACAAATCAAGAAAATTATAAGAAAATGTCCTGCTTTTTATTTATACAAACAAACACCACTACCTGCAGGAAGTAACCCAAAGAGTAATCAATGGAATAAAATCTGACAGATTGATGGGTCCCATTTGTAGAACTTGGAAAACTAAAATATGCACACCACAATATTGATACTTTTTTAAGTTTTTTAATGGACAACTGCTCTGAGTTCAGAAAAGGCAAATTCAGTAATCACACATTTACTAAAAGTTATGGCCCATCATGGGTATACCTGTACAAATAAAGACAGACAATATTCCAGCATATATCTTTAAGAAAATGAAGCAATTCTTTGATCATTATAACATAAAACACATAATCCTATAGTCCAATCACATATAGTAAGATCAAATTGAACTTTGAAAGATATGTTGAATAAATAGAAAAGGATGATAAATACCCCCAGAAATATATTGCATATTTCTTTATTAACTATGTTTTTAAAATGCTAATGAGAAAAAGAACAACAGCTGTGGAGAATCATTAGATAGTAGGAAAAAACTACAGAATTAAATCAGCCATTATACTTTATAGATGTACTGACCTCAGAATGGGAACCAGTACATTTGTTACATGGGGAAAGGGGTTTTGTTTTTGTTTTCACAGGAGAGAAAAAAAGGTATGAATTTCATCAAAATTGATAAAGATTTGATTTGAACAAGAGACACCTCTTATTAGAAGATGGAGAAGTACACTAAAAACGAAATCCCACACTAGCTCAGAATTGAGTATAATAAAAAGTTATTTATTTAGGGGTAGACACACAGATCACAATACTCTGCTCAAACAGGGGACAGCAATCAAATCCAGCAGCTGAGAAAGAGGCTGGATGTGTGCTTTACATCAGAATATATAGTATAAGAGGCCACACCCAAGTGGGTGGGTAACTTAAAGGCTACTGGCGGTAAGAATTCCTACCACACCTCCCCCTTTTGTTTAAATAAGCAAATTCTAAGCCTAATACAAAGTTATATAAAATAAGAACAAATATCAGGTATAAAAATTAGAATTACAACCAACATAAACAATATCAAGCAAGAGACATGTAATAAATGTTTTAATAATTATCCTATCCTAATGAGTTTAAGTCTTACATAATAAGTAACTCAGCCAAGTCATGAGAGGAAATTAACAACTATCTAGTCTTCAACCCCAATGAAGACCCAATAAGGGAAATAATATTACTTGAGAAAGCAGAAAATACAATCAAACAAATTCCAAAATGTGCAACAAATGACAGAGACAACTGGCTACCTGGGCAATCACCCAAAGTCTCATTTGCAATGTTGGAGAAACCAATTTTGTCTAAGTTATTGACAGACCATTTTCAGAGGCAGGAAATTTTTCAAAACTATCTTACCCTATCTTAGCAAGATTTGACAGTCTTTTTTCTTGTATCCTGCTTGCCCTGTCTAAACATCAATCATTTTGTAAGTGGTTGATGCATGGGCAGTTCCTTGGCCAAAGACCAGTTTTGTCAAGAAGAAAACAAACTCCAAGTGGAGTGTCTTTGGTGCTCAACATTCTCTTGGAAATAGATTGGTGCTGCCAGTTGAAATCGTGTCTCACGTCAACAGAACCCTAAGTTACTTAAAAGCCATATTCTATAACTCTTTGAAGTAGTTGAAGACTACCTATCTATGTAGAATACAATCTCTATGTATCTAAAGAACCTGATAAGTCT